ACAAACTGGCGGCATACTCAGACGACCTGATCTTCTTTATCTCACGCCCTCTTACTTCCCTGCCGGTACTGATGCGTTCCTTTGAAGAATATGGGACTCTGTCTAACTTTCTAATGAATCCCTCCAAGTCGGAGACACTTAATTTGTCCCTGTCCTCCTCTGTGTTGGCTCAGCTCCGTTCGACACACAACTTCCGCTGGGCAGCTAGCCATACCAAATACTTGGGCACGCACATCCCCGCAGACCTAACGCGATTGTACGCTGAGAACTTCCCCGTTACTGACTAAGCGTAAGGGAGATCTGACCCGCTGGTGGGAACGCACATTGAACTGGTTTGGACGTTGTGCGGTTATCCAAATGATAGGGCTGCCGAGGATTTTGTATGTGCTACAGGCTCTGTCGGTTGCCCTGCCCACCCACTTCTTCTCTCAGATTCGCTGCTTGTTTCTTGACTTTGTATGGACAGACAAACATCCGCGCTTGGCCTATCAGCTTCTGACCCTTCCCAAACGGAATGGGGAGTGGGCCTTCCAGACCTTCAGCGATACAATAGGGCAGCCCACCTTAACCGTCTGATTGACTGGTGCTGTGACGCGCAACATAAGAGGTGGGTCTCCATGGAGCTCCAGGAGTCCCGCACTCCGCTGGGTGGTCTGCCATGGCTCTCTTCCCCGAGCTCATCTCGCACCCCACGATTGTCCCGACGGTGTGGATGTCTAGATCCATGCTTAAGTCTTCTAATCTGTCCCCATCTCCCTCCCCATTGACCCCCGTCCTTGGCAAACCTGACTTTCCTCCGGAGCTGGATAATGGTAACATTTGTCGGCTACTACCGGCCCGCAAATTTCGTGTGATCGACGTTGTTACTGATGGTGTGTGGATGACCCGAGAGGCGATTCGGACCATGCTCTCCCCCGCCGATGGATACCTCGAGTGCATACCAACTTAGATACTTCCTTCGGTCTGTTCCTGGATTGCGAGACTTGTCACGGCGACTTACGGTGTTTGAATCATTGTGTCACGTGGGTGAGCCTGTACGAAACTCGTTGTGATTGCTCTGTAAGCTCCTGCTTGAGGCCCCCCCCCCGGACTCGTACTGCCCACTTTTTCTACTGAGGTGGGAAGCGGAGCTGGACAGGACCTTTTCAGCTCTTCAGAGAGAGAGGATTTTATCCTTGACGCACAGATCCTCAATGGTGAGCAGGTACTAGGAACAGGGCTATGAAATCTTGACGCCATGGTACAGGGTCCCTTATGTTCTCCATCAAATGAACAGTTCTGTCCCTGCCACATGTGGGAGGTGTGGTTCGACCACAGGAACTATGGCGCATATCTTCTGGTTTTGCTTGGTTCTGCTGCCTTTTTGGGATTCTGTCCGGTCAGTGGTTAACCAGCTGATACTTACTCCCTTACCGGATGACCCCGCAATCTTTCTCCTGTATGCCGTCTCATCCTCCGTTAAGTGATATAAACAGTATCTGACGATCCATCTGATTAATGTAGTGAGATCCTGTATCCCGTTGACGTGTAGGCAGGATAAGCCTGCAACATTACACCTGTGGTTCTCACGGTGGACGACATTTATCACATGGAAGATCTGACGGCTTCCCTGCATAATTCTGAGGAGCAATTCAGATCAACCTGGCAGTCGTGGATGGCCTATACTTTGCCCCCTGCGTATTCTCTGGAATTTCAGTCAGACTCAACCCCTGGGGTTGCGGTAGCTGGTGAACTTTGAGGGGGGTACGAGAAAAGCTATCACACACGTTCTCCTTCTACCTTTCTTCTCTTTTTTGTCCTTTTCCATTCCGCTCTTCCATTCCCTTGCTGTCTATCTTGTTCTCGTCCTTACTAGCCTCCTTGCCCCCTGCTAGATTGTCCCTGAAGGTGGAGATCTGACCAATGCTACCGGGTCATGGTGGCTGGGTAGGGAGGCCCTGAGGGTAATATGGTATCAATAGAACTTCCCATGCCCAGTATTGTTTTTTGGGTTCGGCCCCCCTATGAGCAGTTATAGATGTGGGGCTGCATCTGAGACTTGAGATGATTTATGTACTCCGTTTTCTCTTGCGGGCATGGCCAGGTTTTTTCTTTGTTTTTTTTAAATACATGCCATATTGTACATTGTCTGGAATTGCTGTGTATTTTACCCTCATATGCTGTTTTGGATTGTTGAACTTTGTTCATATTATGTTTTGTACATTTTTGTTATGTGCTTACTAATAAACGGAATTTTAAAAAAAGAGTGTGATAAACTTGTGGACTGAAGCCATCCAAGCCGTTGAGGCTATTGTTATTATTTTCTGTGCTGAAGAAAGCAAACTGTAAAGTTTAATTTCTATGCTGAAGGAAGCAATCTTTTCCTATAGTTGTTTTGCTGTATTGGAGAAAGAAAGGACTTTATGTTGCTGCTGTGGAAAATAAATGCCGTGTGTCTGATAAAGCCCGTGTCCTGCGGTCCAGCTAATTCCCCAAACACCACAAAGGATAAATATTAAAGCGGAGTTTTGCCCATATCTTTAAAATAACAAACACACCTTTAGAAATGCTTAGTAATGACAATCTATAAACACATACTTCTAGATTATTGCAGGCTTTGTATTCTTTGCATACCTTATTTCTCTTTTCTTCCCCAGTCTTATAACAGTGGCCATGTTTACTAAGGACAGATTACTAGCTCTCCTATTACTTCCTAGATTTCTGGCACATGTTACTAGACATGAGACTAGGACATGTGACCATGCACATCATCTCAGGGGAGGAAAATGCCTTTCCCTGAGATTTCTTGAGATTACAGATGAGATTTCCCAGCAACGCTCTGCTGATGACAAGGCAATTCCAGTGTGCATTGCTTTGCCAAACTGAAGTCAGCAGGAAGGGAATGCTCTGCACAAGACCATAGCTACCATGAGGCAAGTGAGGCCAGCCTGGCTGCACCCCCTTGCCCCTGTTGCCATGAGGAACATAGGGCACCACGGCAACAGGGGCAGGCCAACACAGCCACGGCTCACCTCAGGGAAGAGGAGCGGCACAGGCTCCAGCTTCTCAGATTCCTGCTGCTCTTGAGTGGAGGATCAGTAAATATCACTAAATATATTAGTGCTTGATTTTTTTTCTTTTTAAAATAAAATTAATTTAACTGTGGCAGCGCATGGCAAAGCGTTGTGACGCATTGACGTGTGGTGTGATATGCTGTGTTGCGATTAAATGTACACCTGTATCATGTTATCCCAACACATACATCAGCACAGCGCACAAACGATTTTTAACAAAAGTCGCTTATTTACAGTTTTGTGTTACTTAATTTTTTTACCGTTTCGCAAATGGGCGCAATTTTAAATTTACAAATAATCTTTATTTACTCAATACAGTTTTATCTTTTAGATTTAGTAAGAAAATCATTTTTTGTGCACTGATACTGATTTTAGTGTGCTTTCATTAATTGAATTGTGTGTTTTATCGGTTTCATATTGATTTGATAAACATTTGCGCAATTATCGCAGGACCTATAAAATTAGTAGCACTATCTTTTTATGCTACCGGGCCTTGCTTTCAGAAAATATATAGTTTGGGGGCTCTTTTACAAATGCTAGTGACGCAGCAATAGAAAATCAAAACAATGGGAAAAATTGCAAAAATGGTGTGGCCAGCTGAGGTTTAAAGCATTCCAGAGGGCATGGCAGCAAAAGGTGCAACTGAAGCCAAAACCCTTTTTATTTTATTTTTATACAGTGGAGAGGGAGTAGAGTACATGCCAAGTTTTTATTGCTGTCTGTGTTCCGGTTAGGCTGGCCATACATCTTGCGATTATGGTTCGATTTCTTTCGTGCCCTCATCAAAACATCGTTCAATTTCCGCTGGTATACCACATCATGTAGAGACCAATGTTGATTTGGATTATCGTTCGTTAGCAATTCTAACTGCCCGAATTTCATCGATCAACAGAACTGATTTTCGTTTGCGAATGTGCTATGTTCATTTTGCGTTTTTTGCTGTACGAAAAAAAGTTTTCCAGCCTGAAACGATTTGAAAAAAGTTTTCCAGCCTGACCGACCGAGGAAATTCGGTCGGTTGTACAGTAATTGTGATCGTTCACTTCTCAACAACTGAGCGTTTATCGTACGAAAACCCAATCAAGTTCATTTTTTAAACGATAATTGCAAGGTTTAAAGGTTTACAGGGCAGATTTAGGGAGATTCACCCTCTCTATTTGTCCTGGGGGCCATTATCCCTGAAAGTGAAAGAAAATCGCAAATTATGGGTTGTCATCAGCATGGAGGAATAAATGGGAGATCGTCCAGTGGGAACACTAGTTCTGGTAACCCTGCTGACCACCAGGGATTTCTCCTCAAAAGCTGACAGGGGTTATAACCCTTCCTTACAGTATCAATAACTGAAAAAATCTCCGCTTTAAGTATACATAAACCCAATCACTAAAATCTCATATACACTTTAAACTACTTGTTATAATTTCAAAAGTCATCCTCAGTCCTTTTAAAACTGCAGCTTTCATTAAAATAATACCTGATTAAACCATAAAAGTCCTTGTTCAAGTAACTCCTGTTATAAGGTGACAGTGCTCTATTACTGTATCCCAGTTGTGCTGCACAGTTGCCACCCTTTCACACAGGCTTTCCTTGGAGACCACAACACAATTTGCACAGGCACTGTTTTCATCATCAGGAAACCCTCCCTGAGGGTGCAGCCATCAGTGGAGAGCATGCATGTAGACAAGAAGTGGCTGCAAGGAGATTAGCAGCACTGAGATACAACAAAGGATAAAACTAGCATTTTATTTGAAACAAAATGGTAATTGTTCATAATGCATGGTGCTTTTGCAAACTAAATGCCATTTACTTTCTACTTCAATATCTAAAATGCTAGTACGGTATAGGTATGAAAATCTGAAAGTTATTCAGAAAAGGAAACCTTTTTTATGCCTGTTTAAGTGTATCTACTACTTTTTTTTAGACTGTATATGTGTTTTGCTTCTTTTACAGTGGTCTTTTATGAACGAGTTGAATAAACTGAAGAGCTTGCAGTCTCTTAATTGCCAAAACAACCCTTTGATGGAAAGTGAAAAGAACCCTGAAACTGTCCGACAGCTTATAATTGCAAAAATTGCAAATTTGAAGTACTTAAACAAGACAGAGGTATGTTATGTTGTGTTTATAGATCACAGGTGCACACAGAAAACATTCTACTCATTTATATTGAGATAGAGAGAGAGAGAGAGAGAGAGAGAGATATCCCTCTATCTATATCTATCACGGAAAATAGCATACTTACCTATCAGTAATTTTATTTTCCTGACGCCAACACATGGCAGTATATGGGACCCTCCCATGGCTTTCGTATTGAGTACTTGTTACCAGAATGGTGGCCCTGGGAAGCGTGTTTTAATTTATAGTATAACTGGTCCTGTGATTGGGTGAGGGGCGGAGCTAAACACATTCGTATGCTGCCATGTATTGGCATCAGGAAAGGAAAACTACCGATAGGTAAGTATGGATGGAGTGGATGCAGAGTGCCCCTTTCTGATATTGCCAGAAAGATAAACAGATCAACCTGAAACAAGGTTACCTCAATGTACTTTCTCAGCTTAGCAGCCACATTAAGGCATGAACTAAAACAAAACTTTATTCTTGAATATTGGCAACATTGATGTCATATTTATATGGAAGGACCTTCCATCCTTTGGATAATACTGGGAGAGAGATGTAGGATTATCCTGTCTGGGAAATGGTAGCAATAAGATGGTTTGCAACCTAAGCTTGACTATCCAAGACCCTCCTCCCTGAGGGGATTGCTGTAAGGAAAACTATTTTACATGTTACTGTCCTTCCAAGTAAGTGTGATCTAGACGAAGTCAAGAAGGAAGAACATATCCAGCACTATTTGTAAATCCTAAGGGAAAATGAAGCGACTTTCCTGAAGAGTAAATTCTTGTGCAAGCCCTTAAGAGCTGACTTATCAATAAATAAGCTGCCCATTTTGTCTCAGAGGATGCGGATAGAGGGTACTGACACCCAAGTACATATTGCTTTAATAACAAAAGTCCAATATATCTGTCATGGTAAGGGGAAGAGAGTAAAAACCCTTTGAGCTTGCTCAATCTATGAATTTATTATTCCACACTGTAGAATATGTGACATTCAGGAGGTGCTATAGCATACAAACACTCTGACTGAAGATGAGTAATCCAGGCAAGCCAGTCTTGACTTCCGGCCTCCAAGCCGCTTAGGGTAATTTTGGATGTGTTTGGATGTAGCATCTACTGTAGAAGGTCTGAATTTTTAGGATGAGTAGAAGATTCCAAAAGAGAGAGTCTACAAGAGAGAAAACCCTGGATGGATGGGCCACAGTCAAATGATTGCCATCACCCTACCTGGATTTGAGGGTCCTATTTAGGAGCCTGAAACCAGTGGGACTGAAGGAAACATATAAACATTAAAATATCCACTACTCCTGCCATTGGAAAGCTCACTCTTAACAATGAGTGTCTGCACTCTGTGCTCTTAGGGATTACCATCAGGTTGAGATTTGGATAACCCACTTGCTGCTAATCCACAGGGAACTGCTGGATAAGAAAACAATAATTGTTGTCCAAGGCTTTGTGGCTTATAGTGTCAGCCAGGAAATTCTGGGGGAGTTAAATGCTGAATTCATGATTGGAGGTACCTCCATCAGCAGTGAGCAGTTCCTTCCTCCCTTGTGGCACTGAATCTATGGAAAAAACATCATCCTGTTGTTTAATGAATCAATACGGAGGCTCAATGGATCTGAAAGGCTCTCTGAACTTCAAAATGCTGGAGATTTCTTCCCCCATAAGACTTCCACTTGCCTTGGACTAAGAGGTTGTCCTTGTTGAAGTGATTAGCACATAAGAATCCGTTATTAACACTATCACTGGATAGGGACATTGATGATGACTGGTGAAATAGGCTCGCCGGAAGACCCTCAGCCTGCAATAAGTCTAATTTCACTATCTGAATTGATTCCGTCAACTTGAGACAATGGGATGCCAATGAGTAGGATAGAGACTTGATCTACCTCAAACAAAACACTGACAGCTGCCTACTTGGAAATTCTCTGAGTTTCTCTGAAAACGTCATTCATTGTGTTGGCATTTCTTGGCTTTCCCTGTTGGGGAACACTGTTAAATTTGATCGGAGCCTAATTTTGGATGTTCCTGTGGACTGCCAGAGTAGCAGTATGCTTAACTATCAGCAGGATGTTGCCGCAAATAGTGGAATACTTGAAGCCTTGTTCACCCAAGAAGGCAGTGACTGGATGTAATATATGGAAAATGTGGTGAGGCCAAAGTGCAGATAAAAAAAACTGAAAGGGGGAACTTTAGAATGGCAAGCAAGACATTTGAGAAAGTACAGGTGCAGGGCTGTAGCTACCATGGGGCAAGTGAGGCACTCGCCTCAGGCGCAGCTGAGAGGGGGCGCAACCAGGGCCGGCCTGACTGCAGTCCCTTACCCCTGTTGTCATGGCGAGCACAGGGTGCCATTGGCCACAGGAACAACAGGAGCGGCACAGGCTCCAGCTTCTCCTCGGATCCTCGCTGCTCTCCCCTGCCTGTATGGACCGAGGACTATGTGTCCCTCAATCTCTTTTTCTATTTCATAGGGTAAATGTCAGGGATCTGCTTAGACCCCAAATATTTCCCCGAAACCTCCCCCCAACAGTACAAAAAATAATAATAAAAAATACAATTAAAAAAAAGGTGTACAGGAACGTGAATACACCTCTGCCAGGCACAACATCCTATAGTCTGTTGATGGCTTAAGTGATTGAATACACAGATTCCATATGCAAATCTGGATCCTGATCCCTCTGTTCAAAGCATTCAAATCCAAGACTAGTCTTCAGTCTCCTGGTTTTCCCACTAGGAAAAAATAGAGGATAAAAAGCTCGACATTTTTGGACTAGAAAGATTACAAGACACCATTTGGATATGTGTACATAGAACCTAGAGCCTTGCTTACACCAAGGAATTCTGATCCGAATTAAACTGACTGGAAGATGAGAAGAAAAACCTGACAGTGTCCATCTTGAATTCTTAACAGGACCCATGGATCCTGAACAGGATATGCTCAAACTTGCGCAAGCTCCCACAACCTGGGACCTACTGATCAATTTTGTACTAATGTACTGATATGTCCTTTGAGCTGTAGATGGCGCTGAAGTGCAGTGCTAGTCTCTGTGTGCATGCTTATCTATAAAACACAGGAAGTTCTTTTCCTTTCTGTTTTCTTCAAAATGCCATATTCACATATGTAACGTCATTCTAAGCAAGTAAAACTTAATTCAGCATTCCTCAAGATCTCAGTGCTTTATCTAAACATATAACCAACAAGAGGAACCCTCAAAAGGACTTTTGTTTCTCTTGCGAGGGAGTAATCTTGGTTTGTTCAAATGAAGAAAAGCTGATTGTGAATTATTCCACCCCCTGTGACTTTAGATACAATGGGGAGAATTTATCAAGGGAGTTGCTCCACTTTTCTGTCCTATCTCTTTAAGTGACAAATTTTCCACATTATTTGCGCCTTATTTATCAGTGCAGTCTAAGCCTTGATAATAAATTTTCGTTAGACATATGTGGGGGAATTTATCATAGCAATTGCAAGTGTTTAAACTTGCACGGAGTATATTTGCACCAGATTTATGATGCTGGTGTAATGTTGTTGATAAATGAGGTTTAGTAGACTCCAGGAAAGAAGACTTGTAATTTCAGGCAAAAAGCTTAACTGTCACTTCTTGAAGAAGTGGTCATGGGGACTTCTTAAGTTGTGATTGTTTTCGTAGGTGATGCTCCAGTTTCATACAGCCCCAGAACAAGGGCAGATGAAAACAGGTTAAAAAAATGTGCAGTTGACCATTTCATTGGGAGAGTGTAACATGCCGATGACGTTGGACGCCGGACCGCGACTCCGCCTACAAGCCCGACACGCTACGGAGCAGCCACAGCCAGAGACGCCGACTTGCTCGTGCTGCCTCTCCATCCCCTCTCGCACCTTTCCCCGGCATTGGAACACCCAACAACGGCTGGAGACGCCCGCATCGCCCCGAGTTATCTCCCTGCCGCTTTCCGCACCCTCTCCCAGCCCTGGACCCTCTCTCCTCCTCAACAACCTCCCCCTGTGGCCCCCCTTGGATCCACACCGCTGAAGTATCAGCAGAACAACTCCTGGCCCCCCCATTTTTCTTGCCACAAGGGACCTGCGAATTTATTTGAACTACATAACCCGGCAGATGGGGGGAAAGAAAAAAAAAACATCAGAAAAAGACACAGATTACAGCACAGCAGACGCTGTCAGAGATGACAACAAGGAATAGAAGCTCTACGCCAAGGATTGGATCCTATTTCTCAGGTACTCGGCCGAGATTGTCATTAGAGGGGGGCTCTAAGCATGGGACATTGGTATCTCCTGCTAAATAGAATTGCAAGGGGCATGATAGTATAATGCAGGAAAGAAAATGTATTTGTACGTACACATGATGAAACACATGCTGGAACACCACCCAGTGGGAGAGATGAGGTGCAAAAGGAGATAGAGCAGAATGCACTCAGTTTTACAACTGGAAATATGCAAGGACAGGAGAGTGAACAAGAGGGTGGAAGACAACAGGATATAGGAGACTGCCTGAGATCCCTACCAAATAAAGAGGATATGGAAAGATATATCACCGGGCTGGAAATTACATATAAAGAAGAGATAAAGGATTTCAAAGCAGATATCATAAGTATAGGAGAAAGAGTGAGAGGAATGGAGGAAAGTTTGGATATATGCACCTCCAGAGTGGAGACACAACAGCAAGTCATTAAAAGCCACCCCTCACTGCTCCAAGACATGATATATAAAATAGACGATATGGAAAACAGGAGCAGGCGAAACAATATAAGGATACGTGGAATCCCAGAGACAATAGAGACTCCTAATCTGTTATTAACAACTAAGGTTATACTGAAAGACACAATGGACAGAAGCCCGGAAGGAGAGTTGATAGTAGATGGGGTATATAGAGTACCAGGCTACCTCAGAGGAGAATCCACAAGGCCTGGAGATGTTATCTGTCGCCTACACTACTATACTGAAAAGGAAACCATCCTATCAGCTGCTAGAGCTAAGAAATCAACGAC